GTCCATACACACGCCGCCGGACCTCAGAATTACTCAACCAATGATGCCATCGAACGAAAGTAATTGTACGGAGACGGTGATATGATATCTATGGTCGGCCTGCGAAATTCGGGCTACCGAAATCCATGCTGAAAATTCCATACTTGTACCAAAAGTACAGTGTGGAATCAAGCTCTAATCAAAAATATAAATGTATATAAATATGGCCGAATACGTTGAGTTGCCGCACATCCTCCCCTCGAGTAGGCCAGGTTTCGTAAGCGTAGAGGAAGACTGCGCTCACTGAAGCATTGTAAACCCGACCTCTGACAGCCAGACTAACGTCGTGATGGCGCAGGAGGTGGCTCAAGTTGACGTATTTCACCCCACCTTTCATGATACTGTTGGAAATTTTATCCATCACACCTCCGCCAACACTCACACAACTACCCAGATACACGAACTTATCAACAACTTCAAGCGGTTCACCAGCAAGAATGAGTGCAGGTACAGGTTCCTGCCAATCTTTTAACAGTACTTTGCATGTAGACGATACATAACACATACCTTACTTACACTGGTCATCAACTGATTAAGTGAGATTCGGGCAGCCTGTATGCTATCGCACTGTAAGACTGTATCGTCTGCATACCTGAGGTCAGGAAATCTCCCCAGGGAGCAGATCTACACCACCCTTACGCACGTCATTCAGAGGTGACTCCAGAATGTCATCGATGGCAAAGTTAAAGAGAAATGGGGAGATCGGGCAACCCTTTCTAACCCCACTGTTTGTTGGGAACAGTGATGACAGCTGGTTGTATGGCCTCACTCTACCTGAGGTATTTCTGTATAAGGCTTTCAAGATGTTAACAAACTTCTCAGGTACACCCATCTCTACCAGACAATTCCAGAGCACAGTTCTGTCCAACGAATCAAAGGTAGCCCTAATATCAAGAAACACAACAATTGTTGGCCTTCAGTACTGCTTCTTTCATTCAAGTAAACTTTTACGTGTTTTGTTGATTTTCGTAATCACAGCTCGCCTTGTAACCTGAATGAATGTCTTGAGTTCGATCCTCAGTAGAGTTGTGAGTGCGCACTGATGAAAAGTTCCAAACTAGGACGAAACAGCTGTCCAGTAGTATACCAGGATTTTCAATAGTTCTCTAACTGATATCAATTTGCTATCAGATTTGAAGGCAATCAACTCCTTACAAATTAACACCTGAAAAGTTAGATTATATTTAGTCAGTTATATTTAGAAATAATATTTATTTTTTTATATATTTATAAGTTATAATCCTTTATTTATATTTTTATGCATTTCATAGGTTGACTTAAATATTATTCGAAAAAGTGAATGTACTAAAACAATCAATATTCTCTATATAGTCCTTGGAGTTATTGCAGCTATTGTACTTGGTGGGCTTATCCTCTTACTTATTTATAAACTTGTCATCACTATTGATGATCGACGTGAATTAGCCAATTTTAAACAACAAGGTGAAAATATGCGTTGGGAAATGGCTGAAAATCCCATCTTTGAATCACCGACAACAAATGTGCTAAATCCAACATTTGAAGAGAATGGATATTAAACTTTGAATTCTTATTTAAAAAAAATAAATAAAAACAAGCAGTCAAATAGTCAAATTTATAATAGAGGTAACCAGTAAAAAGCAGAAATTTGTCATCTTTATTTCCTTGAGTTCTTCTTCTTCTTATTATTATTACTATTACATTCATATACAGCTAGCTTTTCAAGTTTTACACGTCATATATATTATATAAAACGAGCAACTGCTCTCTTTATATATGTATGTATCCACTGTTTTTGTGTATGTTTGTGGTAAATTTGCTTACAAATTACAAAACTGTATAATATGCGGTTTTTTTCTTTCTTTGAATTTATTTTATCTGCTTCAAAAATCATGATGTAATATGCTTAAATTCCACTTTTATTGTCATCTTTACTTATCTCTTGGTTTATCATTTATGAACAAATTTATACAGCTGTAATATCATCTAGTAAGCCGGGAAAAAACCCATGTCAACTTGTGCCTTAATTCTATATTTAAAGGATTTTTGTTTATTATAGAAAGTAAAAGGAGCTAGTTGAAGCTTATTCTCTCATTATGAATTGCATATATTTATTGTGTATACACGCATATACACATAGTTTTGCATGCATTTTTGTTTTATTCTATTCTGACTTTTTTTAAAAATTTATTCTTGGCGGTTTTATTTTGTATCATTTTCCCGCTTTTTTTGTTTGTTTTAGTGCCCATCTTTTTTAAATATTGAACAATGATAATAATAATCAATATTATGGTAAATGGGTTAATATACTTTTTATTATTTTTTGAAGACGACTTTCAGTGATTCTTAAAGTGATTGTATGTGTCTCTGTACGTGTGTGTGTATGAGCGCGCCCTTTTTCTTGTACTTTTTCAACATTACTCTTGCAGGATAGTCGTCAGGTGTATTCTCTTATGTTTTTTTTGTTTTTTTTAAACTTATGCTACTCGAAAGAAAACTGCTTTATATCTAATAATATTTGATAAAATATAATAGGATAATTATTACATTCACGAATGACTATCTTTTTTCTCATTTATTTGCATGTTTATTGTATTTGATGTTTGGTATGTCAGTGAAAAAGTCAAACAAAAATTTCATCTTTTTTTACGAGTTGACCACGGATTGATATCAGTTAGAGGGCCATTGAACACCAGGGAGTACTGGACAGCCTCTGTTTCATCCTAGTTTGGGAATCATCGACAGTACGCACCCACTGGGATTCGAACCCAGGACCTTCCGATTACAAGGCAAGCTCGTATACCATTCAGCCATTGGGACCCGATTTAATGGCTCATGAATTCTAACTTCTACCAATTCGTGATTTAGCGCGACCCCAACCATTGTCGTTGGTGGGACATCCATCCACACACGTGACAACATCTAATTGGACCTCACTGGTCACGACTTCTCACTAAAACTCAAGAAACTCCAACCTATGGCAAGTCACTAGCGAGCATCAGATTAATTTTCTATAGTTTGGTTTGTAAGGGTTAGTTATGTTTTTACGAGTTGATCACGGACTGATATCAGTTAGAGGACCATTGAAAACCAGGGAGTACTGGACAGCCTCTGTTTCATCCTAGTTTGGGAATCATCGGCATTACGCACCTACTGGGATTCGAACCCAGGACCTTCCGGTTACAAGGCAAGCTCGTACACCATAAGTAAGCCTTACAAACCAAACTATAGAAAATTTCATCTTTTTTTCTCATTCCTTTACGTTCCCAGTGGAACATAAAGCTTCAAGCCAGAGACTTGAAATTTCGGTAGCAGTGGTGTTTATTTTTACGGGATGGGGTTGCTAGCCCCTAATGCCCAACCTCCTCCCCTCTTTACCAGTCTTAATTATTGGCTTAGAGAGGTAAAGTAGTGCGTCGGCCGGGAATCGAACCCCGAACCACACGCGTGGTTAGCAAGCATTTGCCGCTGTACCACCGACGCCAAACAAAATGGTTATTGCATTATTCTTATTTTAAACTGATAAATTGGATAGATAGTCGGTGAAGATTTTCATTGCAAATCAGTGCATTTGTTGTAAAATGTAACGATAGTTAAATGAATTTATGTCATAAAAATATTTCGCATTACAATAATTAAAACGTTTATCTGAAATAGAAAGAACAGCCTTAAGAATTGTACACTATTATTATGCATGTAACTGTTTTCAGTATTTATAAACTCTTATTGACGCTGACTTTGAAATAATGGAGAAGTTTTGTAGCTCAGGTGGATGATATTGATGACTTAGTTGTGTTCTTTGAACTAGTTGATTTAATTGCGAAACTTTCGTAGTCCTTCTAGACAACATCGTCTTCAGCGCAGGTTTTCAGTATAAAATGGACTTATTTGAATTCTCCATGCATGATGATATAATTGTATCTGCTGCCAACCATTATCGTGACTGGTTATTGATTTACATCTTTATTGATTTTTTTTATTGACTTAGAATCTAAACTTTCTTGTCATGGGATGTACTTTTTATTAGCTGGTAAATTTGGCTTATCATAATGTGTTTGTTAATCGCTGGCTGATTCACTTGAGTAATAGGCTTCTAGAAATCCCCTGGCATTACTGTTTGGTGTTTCCTTCATTTAGAATTTGTACATTAACCCAATTAAATTGGTGTCCGTTTTTATCTATATGCATCGGTATATGAAAGAATATGTATCATGTCTTTTTTACGTTGACTTTACTTGATGACAGGATTTCCATTTCAAAAACACGTGACTGTTCTGATTGATTATGCTTTTTAGTCCGTTAGCTTCTAGGGGAAAAGGAATAATTTCAGGTGAAGCAGGCAGCTTTATATACTAATTGTTTTTATAAAGGTCTTGATACCTGTGTACACCATAAATTCGAGATTTTATCCACCCTAGTTCGATGCTTTAGATATCAAATTTCATCATCTTACTTCTCTTGTGATCACCGTCTCCATTGAGTGAATGAACCACCTTAAAAATTGAAATGCAAGTTCCCACTTTAGTTCCAATTGAAAGGTTTTCGAAAACTTAAAAGTGAATTGTTATATACTTCGTAGCATTACAATTCCTAAATTAATTCAGAGTTTGTTCTGATTCTGCCTTTTTTATATAAGCGAACTTTTTGATTGAAATCTGTGCTTTGAATACACTGTTCATAATCGTCTCACTATGTCTGATAACAATTCTGGAAAATCTTACTTTATTTGGTTAGTGAATAAATTTACTCCCGGTGTAATAACTCTGAAGATTCTATCCAGGAAGATAGTGTAAGCTTCGCAACTGAACTGCCCAGTTGAGAGAAAAATTACACAACAAAGTCAAAGTTGACTAAGGTCATCTTTACGAGAGATATAACAGTATATATATATATATATATATATATATATATATAAACAGCACATGTGTGAAGCCATTTTCGGATTGGATCTCAAGTCTGATGCTTACTGGCTCATAAAGTTGAATTTCCGCTGTAGAAATATACACAGTATTGCATTGATTCAAGTTGATATCATTCATAAAAATAGGACTGAAGGAAAATTTATGGGGAAAGAATAATTACAATAATAATAACAATTATTATTATTAGTCTCCAGTCTGGTTATCTATAGTTTCTTACTTGGTCGAAACTAACAGTCAAGCATTTCATTGATTAGTGTCACATTTTTGTTCGACTACCTCACACTCTTTATCAACCTAATAGTGATGAGGATAACTTCCATTTTAATCGATAACTGTCGTGTAGATGTGTGTGTGTATTCGAATATGACCAACCGAAACTGGTCTCAACCGCTTGTATCTCTTGTAAATATTGCCTAACACGTACATAAACGGATGCAGTATACAACTTAGGACACTTGTATTTTGATAAAGTTCGAACTAGGAATCAACCCCTTTTTCACTCGTTCCCAATGCTTTGTTAGATTAATTCTATAAGAATACTTCAATGAAGCTAGGTCAAATGTATTATCGGATTATTTTATAGTTCTCATTGAAAAAGAGGCTTAAATTCTTGTGAATATTACACCGACCTTGTGTATAAACTGAATATTTAACAAGTAATAGAATTTTCAGAATGTACACAAGTTTGAATTATTAATTCCTACAACCCTCTGATAAATTTATCAGTAGTATTGATGACTAATACCTACATTAATTTGTGTAATACTTAGAGATCTCTAAGCGATAATCTGAATACAAGTTAAAGTATTGAACATTGATATCCATAAAATTGAACACATAAGCATTTTTACAACACAATTGATGTATTAATACTGCCTGTTGAGAAAACACTAGGTAGTAAATACTTGTAAATCTATTCCCTCACATACTTTTAGCACTTTTACAGTCATGTTTTTAAAAAAAAAATAAAAATGCAATACTTTTCTGTTACAACCAATCTTATTCAGTGTTTAAATCCAATAATTTTCAAGGACATGCACATATTTGTACTACGCATAATGGTAATAACTAACATAATTGTCTATGGAAGTTATTGATTATATGTATATCGATTGTTTTAATTTGTTTTGTGTATGCGCGCGCCCTCGCACCAACATGAGTCATCACTGGTTATTCAAAAATAGAATGAACCAATTTTTTAATGTATAGAGAAAAAGAAGAATGTTTTATAAGAAAAATAATTTAGTTTCCTTTATAATTTATTTAATACTTCAATCGACATAGTAGGATTAAACCAGACTGTTGTTCACTTTTCTTAAATATCAAACATATTTGATACAATACTGACAAATGCATATGTCAAAAAAAAATAATACGAGGAAGTTATTGTTACCACTACCATTTTTTTTAATCAATTTTACTTCTTTCTTGTATAGATTGACGAACTTAAATATACGGACATGTTATTCAGTATGATTTTATCAAATCTTTATATTATACGCTGTGACAGCTAACTTTTATCTTAGAGGTCATAACTCTTTATATATGGCCCAGAGGGACTGATTTTATGGAATTCATTAGCATTTAGAGGCTAAGATGAATGTGAGATTGATTTTGTGTTATGCCACAAAACGGATGCTGAGTGTTAAACAGACTTCAAGATCAGTCAATATTTCGCAATGTTGTGGGTGTTAAAATGCGAGATTTAAAATTTTTTTAATTGGATAGATATGATGAGTAGCAATAGAATCCAATATGTGCATTTTGTCCTCCTCGAGGCTCGTCGGCTGCATGTACCTGAGACCCATGGAGACTCGAACCCAGTAACCATCGTTTCAAATGCCCTAATGTTCCAAATAGGACGAAATATTCATCGTGTAGTCGAGTTCCAGTCACTACCCACCAAATGATGTATCAATTCTCCAACATCGTCGAAGAGTCTTTATTAGGAGCCAACATGTCTGTAGAGGCCGAATATTTTAGCCCAGTATAATCATTCAACAGGAAATACAAAATTAACTTTAACAAAATAAAACATTTGTTTAAAAGTCGGTATTTCTCAGCACGTATTGAACCAGAGTTCACCAACTATCAAATTTCTTGGAATTAACTGAATTTATTAAACTCTCTATTTAGAATATTTATTCGGTGTTGTAATAGGTTTTCAAGTGCTATATTCAATTATATTATGTTGATTTATATTTTAATTACTTTGTCGCGATCATTATCGATTAATATTAAAAGGTGTCCTTGTTGTGTTTATTCTATTGCGTTTTGCAGATCACTAAACGTTGTGCTCTTCTTAGTCAAATATTAACAAAACTTCAATATCATTATAATGATGCAATAATTACTACTGGTAGTAACAGCAGTGGTATAAAGCAGCTGTTTAAATGCTTCAGTTCAGAATCATTTAAAAAGTTATTACCAGATGAAGCAACCGACGAAAGAATTACTGATGTGAAAACGAAATATCCCAACCAACCTTCATATCGTTTTGTACCCTCAAAACCGATATGGAAACGATTCGACGTTGGCGATCAGAACGGATCAGAAACGGAAAATAATGTAAGTTGTTATGTTTCACTGTGAACTACCTACCATTGCTAATGACACCTATATACTACTGATTAATTGAAATGAGTAGTTGGATAATACTCACAACAACCAGTAGTGCTCGCTGGTCAGATGGGAGTGAGATAAGCAGCGGATATTGTTTCAGACTCTCTGAGCTGAGTCTACCGGTGATGAGCTCGGTCTCAGATGAGTGAAATGGCCGTTCGGTGTGTAAATCACTTCGATCTGGTCAGCAAGCACCACTCTGTGTGTGCTGTGAGTTTGTATCCAACTACTCATATCAGTCTGTCAGTAGTATATAGCGTCGTGCATTTACGCTTGTTTTCTTGTTTGCCATCTATGGGATGAAGCGGCTCTCATATCTTGTGATCTGAATAATTTTGATTTCCAAAAGGAAACTGTAGTGAAATTTCATCATGAACTGTGAGCCATTGTAACATGGAATTTGGTTTAACGTAGAAGCTGTCAGTTGTATAAAACGTACAATGAGTAGATTACTCTGTTTATATGCTCATTTCTTATCTGCTTAACTCTGGGCGTAAAATTGATGTTAACATATACTCAAAATAATCAGTTAACAAAACACCATGTGGAGGTGGTACGTGATACTCAATTGGTCTAGCTGTATAATCATACATGTAGATTTTTTGTTAATAGTGATAACAATAATGGTGTTTCAATGTCAATGTTTAATCACGTGGATTCAGCTGTCAAAGTGAATAGTGATAACAACAAAATACTCGTCAACAAGTCTGTGTACCATGATCTAGTGAATAAACTACTCTTTTTTCCTTTTGTTTTTTGATTATAACTTGATTCTACACAGTACTTTTTGGTACAAGTATGACATTTTCAGCATGTGATATTGGTAGCCCAAATTTAGCTGGTCAACCTTTGTTATCAGGTGTGCGTCGGCCGGGTATCGAACCCCGGACCATGTGCATGATCGGCGAGCGTCCTAACCGCTGTACCATCGACGCAGTCCACTTTCATATCACACATTACAAACTAGATATTGCAGCTAACACTAATTAAATTGTATATCAATAAGGAATTCATTAGACTATAGACATTAGTGATGTATTTGAATTTAATAGGAAACGAGTACAGATTGTTTATAATAAGGTGGATTTTTATACCCTAAGTTAATATCTCAATGTTGTGAAAGTTTTTTTTATGCAAGAAACGAACGTGATTATTCTCTTTATATACGGTTGATTCTAGTTAGTTTAATTTTACCCACTTACTTCATATTTACCAAGGTGAGTTGTTGGAATTCTTACCAACTATGCACGTGGTCCCGGATCTGATCCCCTATCAACGCACTCTTAGATGTCACTTAGCCCAGAAAAGAGGGAAGGTTCTCCGTGACGCTAGCAATCCCACCCAGTAAAAAACTTTGAGGCCTCAAGCTCGAAACCCTATGTTCCACTAGGAATGAAAACAATTGGTAATATTTGACTAGATAAACCAGAGTAAAAGTGGATTAGAGTTCAAATCTACAACTTGATAGATGAAAGTAATGTTTTCAAATGTTCCCTGCATTAGGTTGAACTTTACGAGGATTTTTCTTAAACAATATTTTTACAGAACGTCAGTGATGTTATGATTTGAACTGGTCACTTCTAAATTAGCAGCGTAATTTTCTACCAATGAGTTTTAGTGGCTTATTTAGTTAATTAGTCATCTGGGTGAATTGTTTCCATTTTAGATATCATGTGCTGAAGATTCTGTATCAATTGACGATAATGGTGTATATTGTATTGATCGTAGTACTCTTCCAGAGAAGACACAATTGGATTTAAATTCAGTAAAATTACTTGAACAAGTATCACTAGTAGATTTCAAAGGTGAAGTAAGTTTGTCTTTTACTTTTCTTGTCTGGCAATTTTCATGTTTTGTAAAGGCCTTAAAAAATAGTGAATATATCTGCAGAATAATGCGTGCTTGTTCGATTTCGTAGATTATTGTCAATTGCATACACAACCTGGAAAAAATATCAAAATATAAGTCAAAACTGAACTTCCCAATTCACTTGCACTTGCTACCGCAGGTGAGAGGATAGCGTCCACCAGAATAACTGGGTATAACCCTAAAATTTTCCATATAAAAGGTAACAAAGTGTTCTAAAGTGCAACTGCCGGATACCTGATTTTAAACTAACTTCTGTATGCAGAAAGACAGTGTGATAAACCTTTCACTAAACTTGTAACTGTAATTGTTTTTCCCGTGTTTGGTTCTATTGAGAGCATCACTTTACCTAATTTTGATTTGCCCTCAGTGAATTAAACTCAAAACTAAGTCTGTCAAACTTAATTATTTATCTGTGTCGTAATCTTATCTTTCGTTCCCACTCTTCCGAATTTCCAATCATATTATGTTTATAAATTCATTCCGTTGTTCGATTTTGTACTGTGTTTCTATTCGCTCCTTGTTTCTATGCAGAATTCTTACTCTGAACCGACTTCTTGTATAATTCTAATTTAAATAGTTAGTCTTCCTAACACTGAATAATTTGTCTTCTTAATTCATTTCGGAGTTATGTTGTTTATGCTTTTTAATAAATAACTCGACGACGCTGTGACATAAGTCTGTTCATAACTTTTGGATCTCGTATATAGTTAACAACAGCAACATCAACGGACAACAATCAGCATAAATGGGAGAAATCTGAAGGAAACAACCTTCTTTACCTACCTGCCTTCCTGGAAAGCATCGTTTCAACTACAGGCGGACGAAACTGATGGGGATATCAAAGCGGGGATCGGAAAGCAAGGCAAGCTTTCATTACTCTCAAGTCTGTGTGGAGATCAACAGCGCTCGGCATGAAAAATAAGATCCGAATTTTCAACTCCAATGTGAAGTCACTATACGGATCAGAGACTTGGCGCGTCATAAAGAGAATCTCAAACAAACTCCAGACCTTCATCAACAGCTGTCTTCGCTCAACACCAATCAAGATCAGATGGCCAGAAAAGATCAGAAACAGGGATCTCTGGGAGCGCACCGGCCCAGCATGAACCGATTGTACAACAAATATACAGGAAGGAATAGATGTGGGTTAGCCATACTCTGAGAAAACCACCAAGTGAGATCACACTCCAGGCCATCACTCGAGTGGAACCCGAATGAGAAGCGGTGAGTTGGTCGTCAGTCCGAGGGTGACAATGGATGAGGTCATGTGAAGAGATGAAAACATGTGGGTAGACGTGGACCCAGGTGAAAACGTTGGCAGAGAATTAAACGCAGTGGAGACGTGCGGCTGAAGCCCTATGATCCTCTAGGAACTAAAAGAAGCAATAATGATAATAGTTACCTAGAATCTAAGAAATAAAATGGGCTCGTATTACCCTGAGAATATATTGGTTCTTTCTTTGTTTAAACTAACCAAGGGGACCAGTTACATGCAATCTTCTAGCTTATGATCCATTTTTATCTTCTTTTCGTTTTACTAAGCAGTAGGATAACTTTCCGAAGTTCAGGTTGTAATTTCTCTAGTTTGAAGTCTCGCTCACTATCATGAAAACATACTTGGATAGAAAGTCTGTTAACCAAACAAAACATGTAATATATCGCTTATTTAAAATCAGCTATGTGAAGTGTGTGAGATACGAGTTTCCTTCAGTGAAGAATATATTTTATCAGAGAACAAAGTGGTATCCCGGTGCAACGGTAGGAGATGAAGACTTGGTATCTGTATATAGCCAAATTATGTACATCTCATCTTCAACGCACTATTCGCACAGATCTTCCGTGTTGTGCTACTTCTGCCCTTCATATTCTGCTTCTGCGTGTTCCTTTCACGTCTCTTAACCTTTTCCACAACGCTGTATCATTAGCTTTTTCTGACATTGATTCTATCTCCCTTCTGTTTTATGTCGATAAACATTTTTTATTTATATACTACTGATAAATCGTATCAGTAGTAAACGCAACATCCGTAGCAGAATCGTTTATTTGGCAAAATTATGGACGGTGAAATTCTAAGTTGTCTATAGTATTCGTGTTCTGCCTTCTTTGTTTTCATTCTATGCTTTCTTTATCAGTTCACTATTTTCCTAATTTATCTGTTTTTTTATTCAATCTGTTGTTCCTCCAATCAAGATTCAGCAGACATCGTACGACTCACTACTTATAAATTCTTATCAGTAGTACATTATTGTTGGTTTTTTTCAGTTGTGACTAATTTAGCACAATAAGTAATTACTGTTATCAGAGACCTTCTATTTTTACTTGCTATTTTTATTCTCTTTAGGATTGATTAGTCAATTAATAATATTAGCAGATAACTTCACTTGGATGACTGACTAGGGAGCACGCACGTGGTCCGGCCAACGAACTTCTAAACCTTGCCTAACCGGTAGTAAGCACGGTGAAGAGGGAAGGTTGGGTGTGAGACCAGCAACTCTCCCCTTCCCCTGAAAAAGCACCACTGCTACTGAGGCTTCGACACTCAAAACTTGTTTGAATGAGGGCGCAAACAAATAGAATTTAAAAAAGCTAAATAGTAAATAAAATATGAATCTTTGAATGTAGTTATCGTGTGCACCGTTACTGTATGAAGCATTTATCCGGAACAAATTTCTTATGTGCCAAGCAATGAACCATTCTTGATATGTGGAGGCTATGGATACTATCCAGTTTCTTAGACTGAAGTAGTTAGAGTGATACTTAATCCCGAAGCTCATTATATGAAAGTCAGGAGCTTAAGCCAATGAGTCAGATCCATGCACCTCGTGTTTACCAGCGACGCTTGTATATAACAATATGAATTCATTGTCTGCTGCGATATTCACCCCTGGAATCCTTGGTTTCAAATTAACGTAGCTTGCCTATAACCTGATCAGACCAGCTAAAAACCAGGGATGCCCACTTACCCGTTTCTATTCAATTTCATTGTAGAAGTACTAATCGACTTAACCCTAACTCACTTCAGAGATTGAGTGATTGACTTGCTACCAGAGAATAATCTCGTTGACTTAGAATATGCAGATGATATGATCTTTCTGGGTGAAGACACTGACAAAGTACAGAGTCTTCTGAACCCCTTCAGTTGCAGTCTGAGAATGTTTGGCATACGATTCGCTACCGCCAAATGTAAGATAATGCTGCAGGACTGGACTACATTGACTCCTAGCTTAGAAATAGGGAGTGAAGTGGTAGAGCACGTTGACCACTTCATCTCTTTGGGAAGTACCATCAGCCAGTGCCAACGGGTTGATGGCTGACGAAATCTCAGCACGGATACAGAAGATTAGTTTCGCATATGCCAGTTTACGCCGTCTCTGGAGTAGACGTGATATCAGACTGGCTATCTGATATGTATCCACATATATATATTTATGTGTGTGTGTATGTTGGTCTCTCTTTCTGTTTGCTCGCTTTGTCTGTGACCATTTCACTTGTGTGAACTTGTCTCCTTTAATAATGTGTATTCTCCTTATATTATATTATATATAATATGAGTGCTTGTTAACAGTCCGTTGCTTAATGACATATATCCATATATGGTTGTTTGACATGTCTGCTATATATATTTTGCTATATATATATATTTCGTTCACACATTCTGTGTGAACTACTTTACTTACTTACCACTTTGGTGTGAGACCATTTATTTTCGTCTCCTTGTGTTTGGACAATAGAAGTATCATCGCAAACCTAGTGGTCTTCTGATTTCCGCCTTCTCGCGTCAGGACTATTAGTTTCTCGACCAGTCCATAACAATAACTTAGCGACGAGTACATAACACTATCGACCAAAGGGCGTGTGTACTGCTCATCGGTCCGCTCCGTCCTCCTTTATGACCAGCTGTGAGACTTGGCCATTGAGAGTCGAAGACATGAAAAGACTAGCTGTCTTTGGTCATAGGTGCCTGCGTTGTATCTCCCGTGTGAAGTGGCATAATAAGGTGAGCAATATTGAGGTTAGGCGTCGAGTGCTAGGTAGTTGGGAGGGGAAATCAATCGACGAGGCTATGAAATCACATCGACGGAGATGGTTAGGACATGTGTTACGCATGCCTAGCCTAGTCATCGCCTTCCTCGACGGGCAATGTTAGCGGATATAGGGTCAGGCTGGAAAAGAGCTAAAGGCGGTCAAACCAAAACATGGCTTTGTCAGTCAATGAAATCTACAACAGTTAGTCTAAGCCACGTAGGAAGGTGTAGACTTCCTGGTTGGGATCCTCGGGACGGTAAACAGTAATGGCTAGAGATAATTGGTGACATGACTCAAAATCGTTCTCAATGCCTGGCACAGATGCATCCACTCCTTGTGACTTATGATTTCCAATGAAACTGTTTTGTTCTTCGTTATTACTATTCCTTTTTTCTCATATCCCTGTCTACTGTCTCTATTATGCATTTCTTCTCTTGCTTCGTGTGCTACATGAAGTGTGGCAAATTGAACTGCTGCACATCAGTGCAAAGGTCTACGTCGAAACAGACAGACAGATAGCTAAAATACACTTTATTAGTAAACTCATTTTCAATAGTATCCATTACTTCCATGGCCCTTAAACTGACTTCACATGAGTTTTTGAAGACACATTGCTAAGGATCTCGATCAATTTGCAACAGAAGTCGGTTCGCAACGAAAACTTCTGTAAAATCCTATGACTCGCATTTGTGTATGTGAGTCCTGTCCTGAATAGAATATTTGCAAAAGTAGCGATAAATCACCTAAAGTGTGTAAAACATCAACAAACGTTATTCAACTTGAAATTTTCCTATTTGAAAGTTGTTTTATACTGCAGTGTTTCCACAGAAAATTATATTTTTACCTAAAAAGTTGTCTACACACAATTCAAATGTATAAGGTGGAATAAGTGCTCATATTGTTGTAAGTATTAATAGAGAATAACCTTAGGAATCGCTTGATTGTAAATACAAGTTGTGTTGATAGCTCTAGATTTTTCAAAGTGGTATACTGAATACATTTTTTATTATTAGTTTGTACCAAAAAACTACCAGTGTAACGATTTCTTTGCCGGGTTACATAGTAATTTGTATTTCTGTTGGTCTGCTGTAATATTTATTTTTGTAATTGTAATCTACAGTGGTCGAATGTCTATAAACTAAGCAATAACACGGAGAGGACAGGAATCAAAAATGTGAATTCGGCAGAATTATTTGTATTACATACGTGCAATAAATAGAGACAAATATTATTAATGAGTATTTAAACAAAGTAGGAATTGAAATAGTCAATCACTACATCCGGTTTACTTATCTAGGTAAAGAGGGATTAGTGTAACGCGTAAGCTTTTCATTACTTACAGTATTTTTAGGACGTTACGCCGTTAAAATTGATACATTTTAGTTGGCATCAGTTACATAAATATCAGTGTGTTTCAAATCTGAAAAAAGTGTGAATTTTAGGCATTGCTGGTGAACGCTAACAGGTATTAATGTGTGGCTCTGTATATACATATATGTAACAACAGAAGACAAGGGCCATGCAACAGATCGTTTATTAAGGAAATCAACACATATTTATAGATTTCCGTGTACATTATTATAGATTATTGTTAGCAGAAAAACACAGTCTTCTGATTGGTTGTTTCTCACTGAAAGTTAATCTCTCAGTTCTTTATAGCTGTCTCTTGAATGTCAAATCATCTATATATATTATTATTATTGTTCCCTTGGGTTCCTACTGGAACATAGGGCTTCAACTGCACGTCTGCACTTGCTTCTGTCTTCTGCTGTGCTTTTCACCTGCATCCATGTTAGTCCATACTGTTTCAACTCCTCTTCACACGATCTCCTCCATGTCACCCTTGCACTGACGTCCAACTCGCCGCTTCCCTTTCGGCCTGGTTCCACTCGAGCAATGGCCTGACGCGCGCACGATGTCACCCAGCGGCCTCCTCAGCTAGTGTTCAATTCATCTCCACTTCCTCCTGCATATTTATTGGACGATTGGTTCTTGTTTTGCTTGTTCCCAGCCATAGCTTCTTGTTGGTGATTCTTTCCGGCCCGGTCATCTGATCTTCAGTATAGAACGAAGACAGCTGTTGATGAAGGTCTGCAATCGCCTGTTGGAAATATTTTTTGTTACCCGCCCGCCAAGTTTCTGATCCGTATAGAAGAAATCACTTCACGTTTGTATTGAAAATCCTAATTTTGTTGTTGATGCTGGCTGAGTGACGAAGATTTCCAGATTGGTTTCAGCAGATCATCCATATGCTAGCTGTATCCGCCTACGCAAAGTCTACTGTGATTGGTTTTTGAATCAGTCTTTGTTCTTATTTTTCTCACGACCAATATTGAGGACGTAAACACTGACATAAATTACTGTCTACCAATTTTGACTAGCAGCCACCTCTCACCACATATATATCAGTCATCCTGTTAAATACTGTGGTAGTTCTATTGTAACAGTAGAAGACAACAGATTTGATAAAGAAATATTTAATAGGAAATTGGTATCTGTATATAGCGAAATTATGTACACCTTATCTCCAAATCCTCATTTGCACATATCTTCCGTGTTGTGCTACTTCCGCCCTTCGTATTGTGTTTCTTCGCCTTCTTTTCGTATCTGCGATGTTTTGCTGCAACGCTCAATCATTTACTCTCTTTGACATCAATTGTATCTCCCTGCTATTCGATTTTTTTTATCCCGATGAACATCTCTTTATATGAGTCAGTTACTCTCTTAGAAATCAAATCTATCTCTCCGCTATTTGATATTTTTGAGCTGCGATGAACATCTCTTCATATACTACTGATAAATCTTATCAGTATGTCTTTTATTCCATTATCGTTCATTTCAGAAATCAGCTTATCAATCTATTTTTAATCATGTTTTAACCATTTAATGTATTTAGCTAATTAATAATTTCTTCTTTTCATTCCTTATTGTTTATTTGTTTAGGAAAGTTTAAAAATTCTAGAAGAAGCTATTCGTTATGCTGACTGTTTGTTGACAAAAGAAGCCTTTCATGGAACAACAAATGAACAGTATTTAAACTTTAATAATACTGACCCAATAGTTAGTCTTTGTGATGAAATCAATCCAGACTGGAGTTGTCCCTTACGGGATGATGGTGATAATGAATCTGTTGAAGATAACTGTTCACTGGCTAGTCATATTATGCAACATGTTCCGGATAAATGGGAAGGTTATATTGTTGCTCCACTGGCTACCGCTCCTGTTGATCAGGGTGAAACTAATCACAACAGTTCAAAATAATAACAACAGTAATAATATTATGTATGATAGTATGTTATTCTGTAAACATAACAATGCATGCACGCGTCCATTACTTTTGGTCAACCGATGAAAAAAATAAATTGAATTTGCCACGTTTTAAATTGTCGAATATATTTATGTTCGAATCCTTCTGGAAAGATGAATCCTGTTGAATATGTTTTCAAGGGTTATTTGTTGCAAGTTTGATTACGAATTAATATCACTTAGAGAACCAGGAAGTACTGGACAGTTGTTTCGTCCTAGTTTGGGACTCATCGGCAGTTTACACCCACCAGTAGGGTTCCAACCCCAGGACCTTCAGGTTACAAGACAACCTCTTAGACTATTCAGCCCATTGGACTTGATCCAATGGCCAATCCATGAATTCTAACTTCTACCGATTCGTGATTCGAGCGCAACCACTAACCAATTTTATCGGCTGAAACAAATGTTAGCTTTATTAGAGTTTTAACCCCCATATTAAACAATAGTACAGAGTGGAAAACAATAATAATAGTGGCCTTATTCCAGACATCACAACTGATACAGGGTGTAATTCTCAGCGTGTGGTATGATATTCCATCTGATTTTTTCTTTGCATTAAATAATAAGGCGGAAAACAATTAATTGGAACATTTGCATCTATAATAATATCGATAAAAAGTAAAATTAGAATTGTAAATTAATAGAAATGGTGATAACAATCTATGTGTGATAGGAAGAATAAAAACAACCGTTTATTCACTGTTTTACAGTAAGTTATTGATTTCATGCCTGACTGTTTCTTCATTACATAAGATGCGTTCCAGATAAGGTATCGTTGAGTTTCTATACTTAGCCGTCCAACTATAAAGTCTTTTATAAATTGCTTCTATTTCTACTTAATTGGATGCAAGAGGAGAGTTGTAAATAATGAGAAGGGTACTCAGAGTCGAATAACATGATATTCATCAAACTGCATTATTTTCAGTATCTATCCACAACAGTATTGACGAGTTGGTTTAGCGATACCCCATTCATCCTACCGACAGTTTTTATTACCCTTTGCAATGTAAAAAATTCTTCCTTAATTAGCTCAAGAAAGATTCGGCAGGAACAATAAAGAAGAATAGGTAGAATGCAAAAATTAACTACTTGTAAAAAGTAGGGTCTGAGGGATACCAGATTTTCTTAACATCCTTACGTAGGAGGTCATATAAAACATCTTTCTAGAAACTAACATGATGTTGGAAGACCAAAAAGGACCAGAAGTAAGCCATAATTCAAGATAGTCAACATTCGACCTAGTCTCAGTTTTAGTGTCTCCTACGATACAAGAATCACAGGAACTAACCAGTTCATGCGAGTCACATTTGTGTCTGAAAGGGAAGTTAACAATCTAACAATTTGAAGGATTCAGGCTTAAGGTTATTGAACAAGGATCACCAACTAATTTTTGATAAAAACCTGTTAATTTTGAAAGGCTAATCGAGAATTAACGGACAAGGAAACAGTCAGATCAGGGGTATGCTTAACAAAATTGGCTTCTTCAAAATAAGGTAAATCTTTTGAATAAATTCAGTGAAAAGGAAGTGCTGCAATGCAGATGTATAAAAGTTCCAGAAATTTAAGATAATGTATGAATATGATAACCTATATTTAATTTTATTGTGGGTAAAATTTTTATTTTGATGAATTCTTGCAGTGTTATGCAGTGCTATTTACTGATGACGTTTCGAGAACAATTTATTGCTCATAATTATATCAAGGTAGTCATACAACTTTCTAACTTCGTTTATATAATTCCATTATTTTCCATCACTTGATTAGTAGTAATATTTTCAATATTCCGGTATGAGTGATGGGTCATTCCTATTGCATGTGTTGGGTGTAGACTCGATGAACAAGGATTCAGTAACCAACCTCTCTCTCCATCTACCTATATTACTTCTTAGAATTTTAACCCTCTTCCACCCTACTGTGTGGTTGTGTGTTAATGCATGAATTGCAATTGCTGAGTAGTTTTTTCTAAATTACTTATCTTCGCGAGTGGGGTAAACCACTCTTACCTTAACTGAATTCTTATATTCCGACAATCTGATCATCCCCGGTCTACTAGTTTCACCTATGTAGTTGACTAAACTCTCAGTCATTGCAAGGTATTTATAAATTAGATTATTTTGTCTAATTGGATCCTTTAACCTACAGAGCTTGTCCTATGTGAATGGTTTTGTAGGTTTGAATGCCACTCTAATTCCTGCTTTATTAAGAACCTTACGTAGGGTCTGACATGTTCCCTCCATATATGGTATAATTGTCGATGCCTTATATTCTCTCTTATTTATGTTGTCATTATTAGTTTCATAATTAGTTTATTTTGTTTTTGACTTCTTCTGATCTTCCTAACGAATTGTATAGGATAGTTATTTAACACCAACCATCTGTTCTTCTGTTTTATTTCACCATTTAGGTCTTTTTTGTACTACTTAGTGCTGCTGCTTGCTTTGCTAGTCACTTAACTAAGCCAGCCTTTACAGATAACGAATGAGATAAATAAAAGTCTCAGCATCTATTAGAATGCTTTGGCTTTTTATAAACGCTAGTGTGCAGTCTACATTCTTCTGTTCGTTTTATTTTACAGGTTAATCTAGCTAATTCTCATTGTTCATTTTTCGTTTCAAATGTGAATTTTATTCCCTCTACTAGTGAGTTTATGTGTCAGGAAGCTAGAGCATATGCTCTGTTTTTAACACTGTGAAAGTCCCATCCATATATCTCCACCATATTTCTGGAGTAGGATTAAATATATTAAGAGCAATATTTGTTCAGCTGTCCTTAAAGATATCTGCTACCATTGGGGACATTCGTGATCCCATTGCTACACCTTCTGTTTGTCTATATATTTCGCCTTGGAATTTAAAGATAGTAGATATGAGGCATAACTGAATCCCTAAAATAATTTCCTCAATGGGCAGCTCCGTTCTAGGAGTAAGTTCAGGATGTGTAGTTATTTCTCTATTAACTGCTACTAAGGCCATATTGGTTGGTATGTTAGTATAAAGACTAGTTATATCAAAACTAACCATTGTTTCATCATTTTTTAGTTGAATGTCATTTAGTTTCTTTTTCATTTCATATGAATTAGTTAGTTAGCCTAGAGTTTGAACGATTTCTAATGGGGCATAGTATTAGAGCTAAGTGTTTTGATAATTCATAAGTGGGGGTATTCCTAAAGTCTACTATTGGTCGTATGGGCTAACCTGGGTTATATATTTTAACAGTACTATATATTTCACTAGCATTACTAGTTTCAGGCATTAAATTAAACCATTTAGACTCACCCAGTGACGGCTTCATTCTGCATATTAAATCCACTGTAGATTTCTTGATCTTATTCATTATTGTATATACAGACTTCTTAACTTCCTCATATGGACCCGTCTCAATATTTTCAGTGATTTTCTTGATATAGTCAGATTTGTCCGTAACTACCGTTTAGTTTCCCTTGCTAGCCTTTGCGGTGAGAATGTTTTTATCCTGTTTTAGACTGATTAGAGCTAGTCGTTCCGATTTCGATAAGTTTGATTGTGCTTTCTTTTAATTTTTGAGGGTTAATGCACATTGTGCTCGTACCTCTCCTTCTGTCGTCTTATCTATTGAACTTAATGCTACTTTTATATTAGGAATGACATCGTCTGGTTTTAATTTATTAACTGTTACGTTGAAATTTAGTCCTTTCTCAAGTACTTTTATCTCACTAGAGCTTACTCCCCTTGATGGGAGGTTGATCACCCATTTTGCCCTGTTAATAAAGAATGAAACGCTGTTGTTCAAATTCTTTATTTATTGTCCTCTTTTCTCCTTTTAGTTTGTTAGATTTCTTAATTTGAGTGGGTTTTGATTTTTTTTTAATGCTTTTATAAACGAAGTTAGAAATTTGTGTGAGTGAGTGCCTTGATATGATTATGAGCTAAAAACTATGCTCCAAACCTCATCAGTAAATATTACTGTATAACGCTGTGAGACTACATGAAAATAAGTTTAACCCACAATGGAATTATACTCTACCACAGTGTACAAGTTCTATTCTTATATATTGAATTTATCCAGACAATAGAACACTGTTTCGAAACGTCTACACCCACACAGAAATACTCGTAACCATAAGTGAAAGCTGCATTAATCAAATCTCAGTAGTGTTCCCATTACATGTGAGTAATGATAACGCAGAAACTCCTATATTGACGAAGTTCACGCAATTGCGTGAATAAAACCAAAAGTAGTTCAGCCAGTTCCATGTAAAAACGTGATCTAAGCCAGGTCAAAACAGCTTCATATTGACATCATGTAAATGAAAATTTGTTAAAAACCTTCAAAATACTACATGATAGATTCATATTCACAAAAATCTCATCTCAGAAAACAGCAGGTTAAGTTCATGATGAATTTCTAATTCCAATATAATGAGAATGACAGTTGGTAACTCCAAGATTAAACACTTACCTGTAACCTATGTATTTTAATTAAATGTGGAACAAGCAGACAGTCAAAACTAATTTGGTATACCAATACAGTGCAGACCTACTTATTATTTGAGGGTAGACATTTTACCTTCGGTGAGAGAACATTAATATCTTATATGCAGTCATCGAACTAACTTACAAACAACTTCTATTATTTGATAATCAATGACGAAAAATGGAATGTGTGCTTCATACCTTTGAAATGTATTCTGAGTCTCTCTGTAGTAAGCATTGCAATTTGTGGAAAACCTAGTCCGCATGATTGGCTGTGTGAGTGCCAAAATGAAAATTTGGTGGAATAATCATGTTGCAAGAGAAAAACTGACTACCCTGATATGGGCGTGAATTCAGTCATAAAAGATCGGGGATAAAGATTTTATGCTGGAAAATTAATGTAGAACACTAAAAAATGTACAGGAATACGGTAGTTCTTCTGTCTTCCAGTTAGGAGGCAGATTTCAAAGAGAAAAGTAGTTGGTAAACGATGCAACCCTGTTCTACGAGATACATCTGTCAGTGTATCAGGTTGCCATTAAACTACAGGTCCGAAAACCCATATAACTGATGTAAGTGGTCCGAGATTCAAACAAGAGGCAATCATGCTGTAACATTTTAATAGCTACTATAATACTATACAGATTGCTTCAAATGTATTTCACGACGGTGTTCTTTGATCACTTGTATCCTGAGTCAGATTTATATTAACCTATGGCTTAACATGTCACTGCATATATCACCTCTGAACTGTACTCTTAAATAAAGTCTTTTCTTACTCACTTCTTTACAACCATTTTGTAACATGGTATTTTTAAGGTTTTCAAATTCATCTTCAGTACATATGCGCCTGATTCCATAACTAGGACAACGGAGCGGAAGCTATAGAGATTAATAGGGAAAAAACCTGATCTACGTGTGCAGACGAAGCACATTCATCCTCTTTGTTTACTCTGGCCTACTATAAGGTTAGCAGGGACATAATTATGCATATTTTCATGTCATATTATGCCTTCTTATTTCTTGTCACCTGGTTCACTTTACCCCATTATCATCTTTATTATGTGTCAACCTTTTGTAATTTACACTAAGCTTATTATGTCTCTAGTATTTTATTACAGGTCACAACTTAAACTCCTTACTTTATCACTGCACTTGATATCTGTCAGTCCTTTCTTGAACTCACACTCAGTGTTCTCTACTTTTTTGGCATTCGTTTGTATGTATTTTCTGGTAATCATTCTCCTCGCACACCATTGAATATAACTCACCCCAATGAAATTTACATTCTGTTGACTAGAAAAACACTAGTATGTAACTCTTTTGTCTATTCACACTTATGTTCTTGTGTTCTGAATGACTGCACATTTTTTATATGCGTTTATTTGGCAATATTAAATACTGAACTATCACTCCATATTATACATGTAGGCCAATACAGCTTCGGGTATAATTTTCACAAGCCTTTAATGGCTATTTGTATTATAATATTCATGGATTTATAAATGTTAGTGTCTGAGATAGAATTTATCAAAAGTAGTTGTTCGCTCTAAATCATCTTATTTAGTATTTTCGGTAAAGTGAAAACTAAATAGTTGGGCACTTCTTCTGTTGTTCGCAATTCAGTATTGGTTATTTGAGCTACACGGATGCCCACTTAAACTTATCGTTGTCAGTGCAACGTAGCACTTCCATATAGAGGATTATTAACAAACTAACGTCAAACAGGTGTTTCATGGTCTGCTGCCTAAACTACCACGTTAATACCAGGATTTATTCATTGGTGTGAAAGCAGTGTAAAGGACACTGAAGATGAAACGGATTCTGGGTGGTACTAACTATCCATTATTTTAAGATTGATTACTTTCCTGATTTTCTTAGACTTGTTTCGCTTTCCGACCGATGCTAATTTAGTGGTCTTCATTTGCGAAAGTTAATGTAAGACTTCCCCACCAGCAAGTGTTAGATAAACTACAAACCCGGACTTCCTCAGCTGTCTGAGCTAAGTCCGTCCGGGTATATGACTGTTCGGTTGAGCTCTAAACATACGAAACGGTCGCCCGGTGTTTAGATCACTTCAACCTGCTTAACAAACACTAGTGTTTGACGTGAGTTCGAATCAGTTGCATATACCACCATGTTATTCTACTATTCATGATACCCAGAAGATGATATATTGCGTTTAACGAGACACAATCTTTCTAGCCTTTTTAAAGACCAAGGTGACCAACAATCTACACCAGTTCAGTGCAAATAATTCTGATTTCCAAACACTAACCTGTATTTTATTTATTGTAACCACTGGTGCTTGTTGCTATAATTAAAGACTACTGAAGGTCCCATCTGTTGGTCGATTCCGGACTTCAAACAAATTTTTCAATTGCCGATTGAAGCTGCAGCACAGCACTAGAACGTAACTGCTCTTCAAAGCAATGTGACCTGTCTGGAAACATTCGTTATTTTCATCAAAATCCTTTCTGAACACTATCTTTTAGCAATAAACCAAAATAATGGCTATCGTCTACTTAGATCTTATCATCCAAACAGATAATAACAACTAATTCATTTACAAACCAACTTTAAAGTCATTAACTCCACAGAAAAATATGTTAGTTTACTTTTTGCACAGTAAAGCCACAGAATAAAAATAAATTTCAATGTTTTGATGCAAAAGAAGTGGACGTGCATATACTTGCACAATCGCAACTAAAACTGAACTATACAACATTTGGACCTCGGCCTCTACTTAGCTTTTATCATCTTCAGAATGAACGCTATGATGGTCGCATTTTTCTAAATAAACATCATCAAATGATACTGTCACAGCATCCTTTTATGTAGATTTCTTTGTGCGCTAGAGTACGCGATGTTCTAAAATACAATATATATGCCGAACCTACTAGCGGATAAGTGCCTCACGTTTAGTTAACTTTATAGAACCTTCATCATATGGTATCACTTAATACTTCAGGAAATATATGATGCAACATTTACAGCCTTCTCATGTTTTTTTTGCTTTTAATAATTAGATATCACAGCTGCAGAGTACTAGATCATTATGCAGTATACTTACTCCTTCTCAATGTCATAAGTGGAAGTGGTTAGAAAAATCTGAATGCCCACGCATCTAGGCTCAGATTTCAGTCTTTTAACGACTTTCGTGTCATATGACAAACAGACACTGACACTGGTGTTTCTTATTACTAACGTTTCATCATCAACAACAGCAAAGTATATTTACTGAGTATTAGTAAGTAATATACAATATATATATATATATAATATACACCGAATATTCAGATATGATTGTCCTTCATATGGAGTTTATCACCACTACGCGTAATTATAAGATTCGGGCTACAGTAAGAATCAAAAGTAAACAAGATAGAAAAATACTTATATTTAGCTAAAGTAAGTGATAACACTTCTGTTATGAACACCAAAACTAATTAGTAGTCTGGAGGTAAACCTAAAATGGATGGTTAGTAATAGAAAAAAAGGAGGATACCGCTTACCAATGCGAAGACGCGTATTTTTCCTGCGTTTTTCAGCCTCTCGAATTTGAATCCTCTCAAATGAATCCTTGATACTTTTACTAGCTTTAACACAGTCACCACTGTATTGAGTATCAATGAAGTTTTTAAACTCCATTAGGTCCTGTAATCCTAGTTCTATGCGAGTAAGTGGACGCCTTTGCATGGATATGAAATTTTACCAACAGCTGGAACGAATTAAAATTATATTATTTAATATAGTCAACTAGTAAGAAATAGAAACGTTAAAAGCTACTATAAATAAGAGATGCAGTACAGAGGCCGACTTAATGTTGCACTAGTATAACTTCAATACAAAAATAAAACCGCAAAATGAACAAAAATACGAGAAGAGATTTCGAAAGAAAGAGGGCATAGCAGAAGTCAGAAAAGCATACCATTAGCAGTGTACTGCAGTGGTGAGATCATGAATTAAATTGACTTCCAAACTCCTGAACTTAGATACATTGTTTAGGAGAAAAACACCGAGTAATTATTTATGTACCTTATGAATATGTAAAACCGGTCAGTCAATTTCTTGTGTGCTTACAATGAAAACGACAAATTGAAATTTTGTTCATCCTAACAACTGAAATTCTATATTTTCAGCTATGCCGGAACATTTAATTCTGACTCTGGGATTGTACATTTTTTTCTAGGATTTCCTAATGATTTGAACTAGCAAATCTAAATGCTTCGTAACCTGGCAGAAAATAAACCAAAAATATTTTCAACAGTGATAAACACATCCATTTCGGAGACTTAATGATCGAATGGAGATCAGAGGAGAGTTCACAACACCCTTTGGTGAAATTTATCTACAATATCAGAAAAATAACGGTTCTGAAAATCAGTGTCGGTATTTGTAACTTTCTAAAATGGATTCCGAGTTAATCTAACAATCTTTTTTTTCTGATTACAGCTTGATTCCACACTGTATTTTTGGTACAAGTATGGATTTTTCAGCGTGGATATCGGTAGCCCGAATTTCGCAGGCCGACCATAGATATCAGGCGTGCGTCGGCGGGGGCTCGAACCCCGGACTATGTGCATTGTCGGCGAGACTCCTAACCACTGTGCCACCGACGCAGGAATGTGGTCAGCTGTATCTGCTAACGCACATATCTGAGGATATACTAACCAAACAAACCATTATTCTTATTTTCGCTATTTCAAAGCCCAATTGTGTTCATCCCATGAAACAAGTTGTGAGAGTTTCCCATACAATCCAATTCTTTTGCCGGTTGGTTTCTTACTCTGGCAATGAATACGCTTAGTCGTTTTCTGATTGTCCACCATGACATTACTCCATATATTTTAAAGATTAATTTTGAACAGGCCTGAACAGGCTCACAAGTGGAACCAGTGCGGATATTTTTGTGGAAAGTTCACATTTCTGAGACTTCATATCACTTTGGTATCGGACTAGCAAACAAGCATTGAGACAATCCAATTCGCAAGTTGAGAAGAATATAACCAAAAGAAAAGCCATCAGGAACTGCTGAGTAAGTAAAAAAATTGCATCTTGACATACCATTTCTAATCTACCGACTCGTACAGAATTATTAATATATACGGATCTAAAACCATCAAAATCGAATTTAATTCCACAAAATGACTATAGGTCAAAAGTCGCAATAGAAAATTAACAGCCTTCACATCATGCGTCATAAGGAAACTTGCAATTTTTGTAACGAGCACCTTAAAGTTTGCGCTTCTCAAAATCACGTTCTCCACTTGTATGACTGAAATTATCCAGCATGCTCAAGGTCATTGACAAAGTGAGACGCTCAAAGGTCATTTTCGTCCATATTAGTCGGACATGTTGGAATGCATTTCCGTAGCCGTTCGCTTACACATCATTTTTCCCGTTTATCGGTGACCCTAAAGAATAGCGGCCCAAACCGAAACGACCTTTTAACGCAAAAATGACCTTGACAGGGACAACTTCGACCAATGAGAAGGCTGAAAAAGACAGGCGCATAATTGTAAAAAACGGTTTATATATAAGTAATGCAATCATAATAAACAGTTACAAAGGATGGCGCTCGCGTATATGTCTCAAAAAAACCTCACAGTTTCTCATGGGAGTCTTCATAGTCGTATGAAACCAGTTTCGGTACATAAATTCATCCAGGTAACTGTAAATCATGGGATTTCTCGATCCATTAACCGCTCTTATACGTCTTTTTAGACAACTCCTAAAACTTTCAATGGAACTGGTGTGGGTTCCATCTAAAGGATTCCGGAAACCGTCCGTATGATTAACAACATGATGAATGTACCCATGATTCGATAATTGACGGTATCCGCTCCGTTCATCTGTATGAATAGTTGTCCCCGGCAACACCGAACGCTTAATAATAGGCATTAATACTGCTGCACTGCGACTGGGAATCGCTTCTATATACCCTTTGCGCAGTGTCGTGTCGTAGATACCCAGTATCCACTACTGGTTTGCTTGTAATCTCCCACGGTTGTATTTCCTTTTTATAAGTACAGTCTCATCGATATGGACTATGCTGCCGACTCCTCCGAGAACTTGAGTCAGGGTGTTCATTTTCCAGGAGGAAACATCTCTGCAGTAGTTGTACCATTGCACTGCTGACACCTCTGAATTTTCTGTTTCATAAGCTGTAGCTGTGACTGCTCTTTTCAGGACCCAGAAGTTACAGATCATTAAAATTTTCGTCACAGGTAGTTTAGACCTTGAGAGAAAAGTTCCTAAGGGATCTGTAAACTAAAGAACAACGACAAACCTTCTCGAACCGATTTCTTCCTTTGGCACTCAATACATCTGTATACAAAGCAATCAATGGCTTCTGCCTATTTTTCTATATGCATAACTCCTCCGCATTGGCAAATTTTCGACAAAGCTATCAGTCCGTTATCCAAAAAGTAATCGAAAACATCCATGATTACATCCGAAAATGATACAGTCAGCTGATTCCTTCCCCAAGGTCACTTTTTTGTTCGAAGGTCGTTTCGGTTTGGGCCGCTATTCTTTAGAGTCACCCGTTTCTCCTGCATTTATTCACAACTTATCTAGATGCGCATTGGGCAAAGTTAAACTTTAGACACCACTAACAACCAATCAGCGAACAACCTTGAACGGACCAATCACATTAAAGAGGCGTATATGATGAATGGAAATGTATATTTATCGGCAGCCTGTAGATGGCCGTAGGTCATTTGATTAGCTGATGAATATTGGCGTTATTTATTGGAAAAACGTCAAGATTAGGTCATTTTTCGTTTTTTTTCACACTTTTTTACCTATATTCCTGCTAAAAGTTGATGAATTGCGGACTATTTAGCAGAAAGAGCATATGGTGATGTCCTTATCCGGACGTAGGTTACAGGCAGTTTACAGTTTGTTGAAAAAAACGTACTTTTCCGTTCAGAAAATGTTGAAATACTTGAAGACACATGTTATAACGACTTTTTGTGATTTTTCTTTGCAGTTTAATGGATTACACGTGGACATGATGAAGTGGGATGGCTCGTTTTGGTAATTATTTCATTTACTTTGTTGTGTACTTTGCCTAAATGCTGGCAAGGCTCCTCCACATGTATTTCTTTAAGAAAAATCTACAGAAATACGTAAAAAATATATATGCATAGTATTTCCTTATTTGATGGCATTAAACTTGATGTTAGCAGGCAGATGCTATATCGACTTTGTATTATTGGAAAATGTTGATTGACGTAATTATGTACAATTCAACTAATTATTTCGTCATTTTAAACATATTTAACGGTTAATTATTGTGTTTACACTGGTAACAACGCCTACATCTGTATAATTCTTATGTTCTTTTTCAGATAATATCTACTTTCGGGAATTTCATGGATTTGGGTGATAAAGAAAAAGATGCCTGCATTGTTGTCAATTTTGTATTACATGTTAACTGATCAATAAATGTATTCCTCGTTATTCGTTTGTTTATTCCACTTGATAAGACCGAATATTAGCCCTTGCGTAATTTGTGAGGTGTAGAGTATATGAGGCTATCTTTGGAACACTAAGTAGGAGCAGATATTCGGAGAAGCCTATTGGTAAAAGATTATGTTGTAGTCAAATAAAGCATAGAGTAGAGAATAAAAAGTTACATGGGATATCTTTGTCGAACATGTGAGAGAAACATCTACCAGTTTAGCGTGGGACTGTCAATGGAGAAGTTTCACCATATCCTGTATATATATTCAACCAAATGACTATAAATGATCCTTTTGAGATCCATTTATAGCCCTTGTTCTATTTTTCAAACTGCCCAAAACACTTCAATAGAATTTGTATGTGTCCTCGTAAACGGATCCACAAAATCACTAGAAAGGTTGACCCAGTGATGAATATATCCCAGAGATGATAGCGAATTGTAGCCTTTCCACTTGTCCGTGAGTATAATTGACCCCTGCTTAACAAGTTTAATAATAATAGGTGTAAATGGAGTTGAAGATTGAACGATCAATTCATGGTTGTTTGCTCAAAATCAACTTCCCCAATTTTCGCGGAGGCATCAATACGACAGTCATCGTCTCATCGGTCGCTGTTCAGAAAGAAGTCAGTAGCAAACCGTCAGAAGTAATATTGTGATTTATTATTGTAATATTTCTTCACAGACCTTAGTCATACTTGATTTATATGTTGGTGTAACAATATAGAATACTCAAGTCAACAATTGGTGTTTTGGTTTTTTCGTCCGTTATTACTGAGCGTTTCTGAGAAACTTCAAGGAACAGCGTGAGCCCGAGTTTAGCAAGAGCTGGGCATTAACGGTTTACTTGACTTGACTGACGATAGGTATAAGAGTAGTTGCTTTTCTATCTGCTATGCTTTCGAAAAATCCCCTTCGTTGGGAGGTGTCATACAAACCTTTTACCCAAATATTGTTCGCTCGCTGGCGAACACGGTTGTATTTCTTTTTTACCAGCACTGTTTCATCGACATGCACGATAACGTCTTCCCCAATCAGCAAACAAGTTATTTTCTCCATATTCGATGATGCGATGTCTCTGCAATGCTGGTACCCTGAACTGTTGAGACATGGCTACTCTCACCTCGGCAGCTGCTGCTCTCACAGCCTGTTTCAACACCCATTAGTTGTAGATATACGAAATCTGGGTTAGGGAGAGAAACGACCTAGCTAAAAAAAGTGCCTACGAAATATTAAAATTATCAGCTTACCCTCTCTAGTGTTATTAGGCTTCAAACATGTAGCACAACGATGAACAAACCCATCAGTTGATTTGGTATAGCTTCTTAAAGTCATGATACCACCATAAAAACAAATTCGTCCTTTCCGGAGTAACTGAAATCCAGGAAATACAGGAAAATACTAACCTCCTCTAATTGCAACAGTAGCCTTCTAAGGTCATGCATTAGAAATGAATCAAGCGCTATACAACATTGAACTGCGTTCGTGAAGTTCATTGGATAATTCGACATCGTTCGTGAATCTCATGGGATAATTCACTGATTGGTAGTTAGTGGTGTCGAAAGTTTAACTTCGCCGCGCATTGTTCACAAATAATGTGTTTCACCACATTTTTTTCCGTTGCTGTTAAAATTACTAATTTCGTATGTTTCGGAAGTTTTTAACACCAGGGCAGTGCATTCATTCCATTACAATTGTTTCACACGTTGTTTTCATGCCTGGTTGCAATATTTTAGTTGTTTTTCGGCTAATAATGAAGTAGTTCTGCGTGGAAGTTTAGGAAAATGTGCACGTGAACGTGTTAAGCTGACAAAAGCCGTTGTTTTAAGTCCACTTGCTGGTTGACATTATTGTTTCTTGCTCAACTGATTAAGTGGTATGTAGAAATCTGGAAAAAACAATGTCTTTCACATGCATGTTTACAGCTTGCAGCAATCTGCGAGTCAAACTGGTGGGGAGAATACGATCAGGTTTGATATTGGCAAGGTTTATGAAGAGCATATTAAACCTGGGAATTTCAGAACGTGGTTTGAAGTTATAATAATAATAATAATTTATTTTCATATAAACATAAATTTACATGAAAATGCATGCCATTTTTACAGGCACGATCAAGGATGATATAATGTCAAATCTTAAATTGTCTACAAGTTAATAATGTTTCAACAGTTAAATATTTGATATATATATAAATACACATTGTCTGAACTAGGCTGTATAGTTATTGAATTGTACAGTTGTCCTCCAGGTTGAGCGGGAAAATCGACTTCGTTTCGTTTTCATCCCGTGGTTGTAGGCATACGATAACCAACCAATATTGAGGTAAGTACAACGTTTACAAGGAATTGGAAGCTGTTTTAGAAAAATTAAAGTGCTGTGGTGAAACATTAAAGTGTAATAGATTAAGTGAGTGAAATATATCATTAATAAACACATTTATATAGAAAACAGAATGGGGAAGTAATTAATCCTTAGGCCGACAACGTTCATTTGCAATGTATAATGAAACCAATATATTTTATACTATCATGATGTCACTTTTGGCTTTAATACAATTATTTTCAAGCCAGTTGTTTTTATTTCATGTCTTTTTTTCTATTTGGTGCACAACCGTACCCTCCAGAGAATAGGAATAGAATAAGTCGAATCAAATTCATAAAGAGCTATAAAATGTTAGGTTTAATGGAATATAATGAGAATCAAGTAAAGACGTTATTAGAAAATAAGTGAGACAAGATATTGTGAAGTGGTATTTAAAGATCTGACAATGGATAGCAAGTTAATTTATAAGATGCCCCATAAATCTGTGCAGATCCCACGTGGTCGCATCTCAACAATAGGCTGAGCGAATGGTATATATTTAAAGGTAGAAGCATTATCTGTCAAGGCGTTCACTATTATCTTTTTCAAGATAAAGATCTAAGCCCTCATAAAAATCAGAAATATCTCGAGCCTTTAATTTGTATATTGCTGTTCCTGCAGAATGGGGCGATTCACCTTAGTGACCACCACCATATCTACTGATCAGCTAGCGCCACCCTCCCTCCTTTTTTGATGTTAGGCTCTGAGACTATGATTATTATGGCTACCGCAAATATATTGCTTGGTACCAGACATGTTCGTACCCCATATTCCATCTCCCTAGCTTTCTTAATGAGTGCTTCCAATAGGTCTCCACGTACATCTTTACGAACATATTATATATGTGTGCATGCATCCTGATGAACAGATTACTTTATAAGAAGTTAAAACCTTAAAGAGTAAAACGAATAGGTGTTGTGAATAGTGGAGCAAGATTTAGCAGAATACTATAGTTAAGGTTCAATTTAGGTAGTATGGACTGAAGGTAAGGTCGGTTGGCAGGACTTAGTGTACTAAATTTTCATGAC